TTTAATATTCAGTTGTGTTTTTAAAATGGAGTAACGAGTATTTCAATTTGGTTGAGAGTTGTTTAAAACAACACATTTTTAGAAAAGGAAGAGAATGATACTTCCTTTGATAGTTCCAGTCTAAATGTTGACTATACATTTTATACCTTCAATTTCGAGTAGTATACATGGAACATTATCGTTGCTAGACATCTTTTTTCAAATTTAAAATACCTAGATATTTCAAAATCGAAGATCTAAACTGACACAGAACATAAATCTTCCAGAAACTGTCAAAAACTATTTGGGGAAAATAACTGGATGCTTACATGATTATTACAAAATATAGGTTTCTATTGATCAATTTTTCAGTTTTATAATAAAAAACCAGTGCTATGATGAATATCATTATGAAACTGAACATTAACATTTAATTAACAAATGATAGCACATGAGTAGAAAATAATGTTTACATGCTGGTTAGCAAGAACAACGACGCAATTAAAAGTAGTCGATTTAACAGTATTTATTTATAAATGGTTTGGGCGCGAGTAATATACAAAAATACCTTTTTTTATGAATCAAAATGTTTCTTTTTTGTTCTACAAAACTAAATTATCTCTAATATTTTCTTGTTATGATATATTTTAGGTAATTTTCAGAATTTAAAACCAATGCCAGGTAGTAATGACCTATAAAAACTGAATTATCTCTAATAATTGCTTGTTATGATACACTTTAGGTAATTTTCGGCATTTCGATATTTAATCTCCAATATCTTTCTGGAATTACTCTAAGTATACCCTTATTATTCATACATACCTTAATGTTTATTTTATTAAATCAATACAAATAATAATCTATTTTTTATTAAACTTTATTGTAGTAAAACTCTTAAAACCAAAATTTTTAATGAATTAGAACAAATTGAAAAATTATAATTATCGCGCCCAAACGTCCGGTTTCGATCTCAAAGTGTAGTTAATTTTAGTTAATTTAATGTCTAACTTTACTTATTAAATTCACATTTAAATTCAAATATATATATTTTTAGTTCATATTTTGACTGTTTTTTGTGCATATTTGCATCCACATTTTGTTTTTTAAGTGCTTATCTCCCGAGCTTTATTAGTTATCCCAAAATTTATACTCTATCCCAGACAATGGAAGTCTGAAGCTATCAGGTTAAATAAAATGAAAAATAAGTGTTATAAACCAGATTTATTATATACAGTACACACTCTTCACAAGATCTATAGAATTTGTGATGTTCATTTTTCTCCACGGATGTTCCAAAAAGGAAAGAGATAAATACTGCGAAAAGATGCTGTTCCACTCAAATTGATTTCAAGTGGCATCATTGACGAGGCAGTTCCAAGTACATCGACTTCTAGCACTGAAACCTTTCAAGTGCCATGTACGAGTATTTTATATCAGCCTTTGGAACCATCAGCTTCAACCATTGGCAACTCTTCCGATAAGGCAGAATCGATTCAGCGGTCTCCAATACGTTTTCCTTCACGGAGTGTCCAAACATCAGAGGAACTACCTTTTCGAAGCCAGAGAAAGGAAAAACTAAGGGAGATCAACAATGCCCTGAAATTTGAAAAAAAAGCGTTGAAAAGAGACAACCAGGTCCTTCTTAATAAATGTAACAATCTTGAAAAGAAGCTTCAAGAAAAATTGGAAGACACAATCACTCTCGAACAGTACAACATTTGTACGTATTCACTGTGCCCATCCAAAGAACTCGCAGAATTTATTAATGTTCAGATTACCCAAAGCATGAAATCAGATAAAGGTCGAAGGTATTCGGACGAATTTAAATTTAAGTGTTTATCACTATATTTCTCTGACCCAAAGGTTTATAAAACACTTCTAACTAAATTATTTTGCCTGCCTGGGCCGCAATCCCTTAGAATCTTATTACGTGGGATAGACATCCAACCAGGTTTGGAAGTCTCCAATGTGTTCAAAACACTTAAAATAAAAGCTGACAATTTTAATGAAATGGACAAATATTGTATACTGTGTGTGGATGAGATAAGCATAAAGGCAATTTTTTTTTGACCGTAGTGCGGATTGTTGTATGCGTGGAAGATCCCGGCAATGGGAAAAGAGTATTTAAACCAGCAAGAACAGCCACCGTCTTGTTGGTCAGGGGAATTTTCTCTAATTGAAAGCAACCTTTGAGTTATTTTTTTACAATAGTACACGCCCTGGTTTAGAGTTAAAGTATATAGATTTTGAAGCTATTAAAAAGTTAAGGAATATTGGACTGAACGTTATTGTTACCGTAAGTGATATGAGCTCCAATAATATTCAATATAAAAACTTTTTGCAAATAACCCCTGAGAGACCTTATTTTATTTTTGACGATCAAATTTTTTTTTTTATATTTGATAAACCTCACCTCATCAAGGCTATGAGAAACATGTTACTGAAACATACTTTTCTTGTTTCTAGTAAAATAGTTTCTTGGTCATATATTACGCAATTTTATAATATTGATAAGTCGTTAGTTACTAGAACAGCGCCTAAACTAACTGATTCGCATATATTTCCTAGTAATTTTGAAAAAATGAAGGTAAAATATGCAAATCAGGTATTTAGTCTTACAGTCTCAGCAGCTTTAAATGTGTACGTCGAACTAGGTAACTTGTCTAATGAAGCCCAGGGAACTGCTGATTTTATTGATAAAATCGATAAATTATTTGATTATTATTTGATCATCAAAAACATCAGACGGGAAGAAATATAATTTGGCGTTTAAGGTTCTCGACTTTCAACTGACATTTTTAAATGAGATGTTATTGCTGTTGAATAACTTAAACGTTTTTAATAACCTAGGCGAGGATGTAACTAAAAAAATGAAGTTTATAACAGGTTTTAAAACAACAATTAGCTCCATTCTTCATTTATGGGATTTTCTTAAAACAAAAAACGTTAAGTTTCTTTTTACTAGACGTTTAAACCAATATCCGTTAGAAATTTGTTTGGTCTTATAAGACAGCAAAATAGTAATTGTGCTAATCCAACAGCCATTAAATTTTAAAGAACCTTTAGAAAGTTGTTCTGTGAGAAGCTTCTCAATTCAGGAACTCAAAACTGCGAGAATGACATGGATAATATGCTTCTGCGAATATCTGATGTCATTAAAGAGGATACAAATTCATTTGTAGCTCATACACATCCCCATACATCAAATTTGCCAGAAATTGATAGCAGTTATCAAAAAGAGACCACGTTAGAAACAAATTTCAAAAGGTATTTTGCGGGTTACCTAATGAAAAAATGTCTATCTATACATGCTTGTACAATTTGCGAGGAATATACAAAACACTCTCAAAATTTGGACGATACATCTTTATTTTGTTACTATAAAGCTTATAACAGCTCCAATTTAGATTTATTTGGTAAGTTAAACATGCCACACAATGATTTTGTAAAATTCATCTCCTTTTTAGAGGTAATATTTCAAATAAATTTTGAAACTATTATTATACACAAAAATGTAATAGATACGTTTCAAAGTATTTGTAGAAATACAAGTTTTTCACATCCAAGTGAAAAATTTCCACCTAATTATTTAATAAAATTATTCGATAGAGTAAGATTATTTTATACTCTTAAATGTACTAACCGAAATTTTAAAACTATAAAAGACAAAAAGGTTGTCATTTGGAAAGATAAGTAAATATTTTTTTATATATATAAATCTTTTACTTACCTATATTTGTAATGTATGAACTTAAAAAATAAATCAATAGCTACCCAATATTTTTTTATTTTCCTGACCTTTTTTTCGGTGCGCCTATGGAATACAAGTAATAACTAAAAGACGATGTCATAGCTCGTCGGCATCAACTACAAAGAAATTAAATGAGAGATATCCTTCTGGTTATTATTTATTCTTGTGGTTGGGGTCTTCCCCGAAAATAAAACACATTTTTAAGAACGTTTTCGGTTTCTTACAAATGCACATTTCATAATATTTAACTGATTTCCACAACAGCTTTTGATGTATCATTTTAGGTTTCCTCTGGTCTGTTAATGAGATCTTTGTGGTTCAGTTCCTATTTCAATAGTCATATATCTGGAAACAAACACACCGGATGGGTGAATTTAAACACCCTTGTCCATTACATTTCAACCACATCGTTGCACAGCGTAATTCAATCTCGGCACAACCGCATTGCTTTCTATCGTCCATTCGCAATTGCAGGTAGGTAATAAACTGCAGGTCAGTGACGGAGTTAACTATAAATCCAAGAAACAAAATCTAGATTAATTAAAACCAAAATACGTCATTCTGGAGATAAATATACTATACTCGGTTTCAAAACGTTACGAACTTCGACAAAAAAGAATTCCGATTTTATCAATCCAAAATTATGTATATTTTAATTTAAGGAGCATTTAAATCACTTGTGTCATTTAAATAAATAAATAAAATAAATATTCGTATTTATGAAAAAGCATTTAGTATTTAAATACTTTTAAAAAGTATTTTGCCCAGCTCTGTTTACAAGACATGACGGCTGAAGAAATATAATAAAATAACCATACTAACCAAAATCGAAATAATAATAATAATAATAATAATAATAATAATAATAATAATAATAATAATAATAATAATAATAATAATAATAATAATAATAATAATAATAATAATAATAATAATAATAATAATAATAATAATAATAATAATAATAATAATAATAATAATAATAATAATAATAATAATAATAATAATAATAATAATAATAATAATAATAATAATAATAATAATAATAATAATCTATATTTTGTACAGGACTGTTTTCAAACTGTCAAACTGATACACAAGAATGTAGGTGAGCGCACTCGAAAACCTATAAGGTCGCCACTATTTACGGTTCTTATAGCAACCACTATCTCTAATAAATTTGCCATTATAAATGATAGTTTATTCTTTGTGCGCATGTTTAGATATCAAAATAGAGTCGCACTACACTATTAGGATTTTATGTACTTACTCAGATTAAAAGACACATCGTCTGGACATAGTGGAATTGACTCATTTTGTGCTTCTATTGTGGAAGTTGCTTCAGAAACTGATGGCGTTAAGGAGGAATTATTTAATTTACTAGCTAATGAGGGTGGATGGGTCACGACATAACTAAAATAAGATTCATTCTTCGTTGTTGAGAGTATCGTTTTGTTGTAAGAGTATGTTTTGTTGTTCTTAAATAGTAAAGTTTTGAGAAGAGGTCCATAGCGATTTTCTTTGTCGTCGCTAAGTAACCTGAAAGAATATATCATTTTTAAAAGTAGTAATATGCACGTAATAAACATTTTATTTAAAACTTTCGATCAAACAGGTGAATTCAGTCCAAGCAATCTGCACCAGACAAACTTCAAGAGTATCATCTACAGATGAGATTATTGGTCACAATTTTCTATGATGAGATTTGCATAAACTTTACTGATTATTTTTAAAAAAGAAGAATAATAACGGGAGAGTTTTGTACCTTGACAAGGCATGTTTTAAAGTAAATGGCAGCAATGCGATTGACATTCCGCGCGTGTGCATTGTTTACCTATATCTGTGGACAAGTCACAGGCGCCATTTAGAATACTTTCGACCTTATTTACGTTTGTTTTTGAGTATTTAAAATGGCTCCGCCGATTGAGAATCCCGCCGACTAAGAAATAAGATCAGTGATTCGTTTTCTTAGTGCTAAAGACGTGAATGCGGCTAAAATTCATCGTCAGATTAGTGCAGAGTTTCGAGAAAACATTGGACTGCGTTAAGCAGAAAGCTACCATCCCTCAATAGTGACAAACTGAGATAATTAGCTCTAAAGTTTTTGTTCGTTTAAGAAAGCTATAGGCTAGCATTTTATAGTTTTATAGGGTATACTCGTATAATTAACTGAGCCTTTGTAGGTTCTTACAGAATGCAGAATGTGTATTTTATTACCCAAATCCGCACTCAACCTAATATCTGGTATATTGTGGGTTGGTAGTTTTCTGTTTGACGCCGTCCCATTATGAATAGTACGAAAATGTATTAGAGCTTTTGAAGATAGTGACTGATGTGTTCCTTTCTGCGAATACCGTATACATGACGTAAGCAAGAGTTTAAAGGTACCATTTGGGAACGTGAGACCGAGACGCGAGACCGAGACAGGACACCGCGACACGCGAATGAGACATTGTCGGGCAATGCTTTGTGAAAACATATATTTTGGGAGTTATTTGTGGAAAAATGATTGCAAGTCAGGTGTTAAAAGTATTACTCGAGGAAGAAGAACGATATAACCAACGACCAATGAGTTCAATATATAAAATTAAAGTACAGACGGATTTTAATCTGTTTAAATAATCACTTAACTTTAAAGACACTTTTTTAGGTTGAATCAAAATCAGTTTAATCAATATTGAAGCAAAGAGCAATATTACATTTACACCAAAAGGAAAACTCTCACTCACATTGCGATAAATAGGAAATTATGTAGAGCCGGCCCAATATGAGATTGGTACAGGCACGTGCTCGACCTTGCGCGAAGGTGTGACGTCAGAGGCAGAGGCGGACGCATTTTTAGTTAGTAATTTTTAATTCCATTTTTATTTTAAATGATGTATTAGGGTAAATTACTAACTAGGTACTACGATGTAAATTTTATTTTTAATAATTTTCCTTTTTATATGTGTTTATAAATAATGATAATAAAATGAGACAATATTCAAATATGTTACAAAAATACATATAAATAGAGACTTCCATGGCTCTGGTCGGTGTGGTTTTCATGGCTCCTGTTACGTTGAGACGTAATGTTCTTTAAATTTGTTCTAGTTTGTGGATAGCTGTCTTTTTTTTGGTTTTTGGTACCTATTTTTTTGTTCAGTATTGATTATATTATTGTTATCAATTTTACCTATCACTTCAAAATACACAAGCTAATAAAGCGCGACAGCATGCGACAGGCAACAATACACTGTTCTTAGTATAATTATATTATGATTCAGACAAAGCGATGCGTCTGTGTCGCCAATCGCATTCGCCTGTCTCGGTCTCGCGTTACTAAATGGCACCTTTAGAATCTACTCATCCCTATATATGCGACACGATATTTATGACACACCATGTAGAAGGAATGTCGAATCAATTAGTGTGCTGATTGCAAAATGAATGTGGCTTGATCAAATCCTGCGGAAAAGAATTAAAGCAGCGTGCAGTTTTACGTACCCACGTGTTGGCCGATTTCTGTGTTCTCTGATTAAAATTATCAGCTTGCGAAAGAGAGGTGTTTAAATTTATAGGATAAACAGATAAATCACTAATAATAGTAATGAAAAAAATAAAATCTTACTTGGTGGTGTTGAGGTATAAAGATGTTTTAGAGCTTGTGAATGTATTCATGAAGTATTCCAAAAGGACGAAAGCTATTACCAAAATTAATAGCCCCTTGTACGGGGAAATTGGGCACCAAGGGGGCATTACCCGCCTTTTACCTTTTCTGTAAATAATTTACGTATTTCATCGCCTAGGCAGTTGGTCACTTCTATTTAGAAATCTGAAAAGAAAAAAAAATAAATAAATAGTATAATTGAAAGGAACTACAATATTGGCAAACATTTAATTCCGTATATTCTCTTTGAAGTAACCGCATAAATATTAGTGATGGGTTGCTCGGAAAAGTCCACATACAAGACCGACGGAAGTGGAAAAGTTTATTGCGCATGTGCGAAATGAAATTAAACAATTTGGCTAAATTATTTACCAACAAATGCAAAATATAGTTTAAAAAATATGATGTATCCAACACATGACTTTCCTGTCTAGTTATTACATACTTTTCCGGTTATTTTGTACAATCTATTATATCACCCCTATAAATGTTTACGAGGATGAACTAAATACATACATTTTTCACACATACTACTTGAAACATTTTTTAATTTATATTCATTGCCAACGAAAATACTAAAAAATTAAAAGTTTACACTTTTCCTCAAATTTTTCCATTACGGTCCATTTTAGAGAAATCATATATAAAATAAAAATTATAGACAATGATATCAGAAACAACTTTTATTTAAAAAAAATTTTTCTCCAAGCGTAAATAACAGATATATTCCATAAAGTAGAAAAACGACACCCTATAAAGTAACCCCCAGATGTTCCGACTCTGCCCAAAATTTAGTCAGCTCACCGGAGACCGGAATAAATTTTATGTATATTTGATTTTTCGATCAATTTTCTTTTCGATCATTGTTCTTTTCGATCAATTATTATTTGATAATTTTTTTTTTCGATCAAAAGCATTCGATCTATTGTTTTCGATCAAATATATTCGATTAATTTTGTGCCACCCCATAATTATTTATTGCGTAATTTGTCACAAAAAAGGTATTCGTGATTGATCTCTGTAGAATATTCAATTTCCGAGATTTTTCGTAATTGGACGTACTCAGATATAAGGCTATGTACGTACTGTATGTACATATGTGCACAAAATTACTAGAAAATGTAAAGGTACGTTTACATCTGACATTTATTGCATGAGATTTATGTATGGCAGTTGTTTAGTCCAGTGTAAACACTCAAACATATGTCTCTGAGAGAAATGTTTGTGTGTTTACACTGGACTAAACAACTATCAGTCATAAAGCTCATGCAATAAATGTCAGATGTAAACGTACCTTTAGTTGCTATTAAACATGTTTCCTTCTGCAACCATGCCATATTTACATTACTCTACACGTTAAAAACCTACAAAATAGCAAATGAGTGCAATATTGAAATAAAGCAGCCCTTAATTTTTAATAATTTATTGTAATAAAGTGTCTTAACTAATAATGGCGAATAACTAATACACACATATTTTTAAGTTTATATATTTACCTTGAGAAAAGATATTTAGAAAAATATGTATATAAGAAATTTAGAATAAAAACTGAAACTTATGAATACACTCAATTCCTCAATAATTGATATCAAACATATTTTTGCCGCAAAATGTTATGTCAAAATGGACCGTTTTAACCGGAACGGCAGAAACGGATAGTATGACACCGCACTTTAGATGACAAATTTTATTACCAATCCGACAATATGCACCATGCACCATTTAGAATATTATTTTCTCCACGGCCACTACTGAATGTAGTTCTTCCGAAACCACTTATAACAGAAAGAAAACATTCACACTCTTGATATTGAAAGTACATTCTGAAACACGCCTCTTAAGTATTCACACGTATTTCATTGAATTTGCCTGATTAAAGATAAGTCGAACTTAAATTCAAAAATTGTTGAATATAATGATTCTTACATGGAATTTAATAATATTCCTCCTGAACTGACAAATTAGGCAAATACTTTAAACCTCACCCAAGTACCTTAATAATTTATTAATTCCATTTATTAAATAAAATATTGCATTCTTATTAAATTCAAAACCCTTCATTTAACGAAAAATCTCCCAGTTAATTAAATCTTATTTACGACACCGTATAAATAATATCTATAACCACGTCCGTAAAAGATCCAATTTTCGTGCCCGTGTCTGGGAACCTAGCCCAAAAACCGCCGTACACATAAATTTTGTCACGAACTGGTAATCATTGAAACACATAACGCACTCATCTTAAGTGCGTTTAAATAGTAAAGTTCTTGCGATACATAAATTTTTCAAGGCAAGTAATAAATCTGCCACTTTGTTTTCCACCTAGATTCGTTTCCCACTGGGAACTAAGACAAACTGTCGTCACAAAAAGCCATTAAAACGGGTATAAAAACCCGAACCCAAATGAGCTCGATATTTAGGAATAAAGTAATCAAGATAATTTTATTTGTGATTTTTACGAGTGATTTTTAAGTTTATTTATATATTTTTTTTTGATTTTTATGTTTTATAAGAGTTTTTTGATTTTGTTGAAAATCTCTTATTTTTTGTTATTTTTTAAATAAACGAATGATTCTTTGATAAAATTATCTACTCCCCCGAAAAATCTTCCCAGCTCCGCGCCTGCAATAGCCTTTATTTAGTCCTTTACCCCGAAAGACAGGATAGACATCTGCTTTCGATGGGTGAATTTGAGTATTTCTATAGAAATGATAAAAATCAACATTAAGAAATATACAGGGTTGTATTAAGTGATTTCAATAGAAATTATAAAAATAAATATTTAGGAATATACAGCGATGTGCTATCTTGGATAAATTGTACAAACCGAGATGGTAAAATTTAACCAACTGGTGAATACACTGTTCGTTACCTCAAAGGGACACCTATATGCTAAGCCACCCATTCAACTAGGTTTAAAACGAAGTATATGTGAAATCAACACCGTAAGATAACCAACTGGCGAATTGACGCTGTTCGTTACCTCCATTGGTCGTCACCTCTATACTCGTCGAAATATTTACCCAAGGGGGTACAACCTGTGTATATCTAGAATAGAATCAAGCTAAATAAAAATGTAAACATCAACACAGTAGTTAGCCTACAGGCGAATTGACGCTGTTCGTTAACTCCGTTGGTCATCAAGCTAAATAAGAATATAAACATCAACACAGTAGTTAACCAACTGGCGAACTGACGCTGTTCGTTAACTAGGAAAAAGGCCAAATACAGTAAGTATAGAATTTAAAGTAAAATAAATTTGTGAGGTAAATATTAACATTTCAGAGAGCTAAAACAAAGAACAAAAAAGGATACCGGGGGGAATGCCGTAACAATACGTTAGATTAAATATTTCATTTTGTTAAGTTTCATTTTACAATATTTAACTCCTACTGTGTTTGTGGCTGTGGAGGAAGTAGTCTGTTACTCTGTTGGAATAAAAATCCGATATTTCCATCCTTATTACAGAATATATTATTATTTCACGGCCGTCTACCTTAAAAAATACAAAATAAAACAAAAATATTGTTCAAAACAAATTAAAATTTGGCCACATTGTCATGTGTAATTTGAACCGTAGATTTAAAAAAAGAAATATGTAAGTAAATTCTAAATTATGTCTAATGTGTTTAATATTCACTATTTTTTTGTAATTTCTGGTTAATTGAAAAACAAAATGGCGAGTTTTAAGAAAAACATGTTTGTAATTTTTTTTAAATAGAACTAACTCTGTATTTTTTTTTATAAATGCAAAGTAATAGTTACAATGACTGTTTAAATAGCAGCATATAAAAAATAAAATTTCTATAATGCAATTCCCAAATGAAAAAAATTGTTTTTGAAAATAATTGAGACGAGTTTAACAAATTTAACATAATACACTTCTATTATGTTCATCTTTTTAATTTAAAATATTATTAACTACTATCTCTTGTTTATCAAAATCTGTGAAAAGTAAATATATGTATATATATTTAGCTCGAACACAGTTCCATTTACATACCAGAACTTAATATTGAAATATGATTCATTATGATGATATATTTATGATAACAATTATAAATGTCTGTTCAATTGAAAAAACAAATATGGATCATGGATCTCATTTTCATTTTGTTTGTTGCAATCTTTTTATAAAAATCATTGTTTTGTTGTTTTAAACATTTTTTAAGTCACTTCAGGTATTTTTAAGTTTACACTTTCATATTCCCAAATTTGCAAAATCAACAGGTTTTTTTAACTGAAAAAACACCATTTATATTTTCCATTTTTGTTTCGAATTTGCTGTATAATATTCAATATATTAATAATTAATTTGTTTTTTTTATTGATAACGTCATTACTTTATAATGGATCAATCTGTATTTTGAATTTTGTGTGCCATTAAATAAGTCTATGCAGAATACATGAAAATATTTTCTAAATATAGATAACCCAAAAATATGTTTATTTCTCGATAAATAATATTTATTTAGATATCAAAGTGAAATAACATATACTAAAGAATAATGATCCTGTATATACAGGGTAATCCATTAGTGTGAAAAAGTCCAATATCTCCGCCATTATTAGAGATATAAAAAAATATTTTCACAGAAAGGTAGACAGCGTTAAACTACATATTTTAAAATTATTTTTGAATATACAGGGTGTTTAATAACTTCTCTCTGCAACCAACTTATGTTTTAATGGATCACCCAGTATTTTATTTTATATTTGAATTGCCCTCGCTTTTCAGGGTATTTTGCAGGATATAAGCAGTTTTGTATGAAACTTGTATTGAATTCAATGACATATATCATGCAAAAGAAACCATTGATAACCAATTTTTTTTCTACCACAATTTTTCAATCATGGTCAAATTTTATCCGAAGACTACTTTTTTCAATTCGCATCAAATCTGTACAGGGTGAGTCAAAACACAAATACATAATTTTCTCAATTTTTTTAAATGGTTCACCCTGTATTTTATCATCGTTCAAAAGTATCCTAATTATACTTTTTAATTTGACTTAAGCATTCCCTATACCAAAAGTTAATAGTTTTTAGAGTTTTTTAAATTTTAGTGGTAAAAACGATAATTCAGAAAGTAATTGATAGAAAATACATTCTGTTTGATAATTAGTAATTATTACAATTTAACCAGCTGTAATTTATCGATTTATCG